GGTTATTGACCCTGATATCATTGCCATAATGTTATCATTGATAGTGGTACTGCATGTATGATCACTATGATGCATGTTACTCTCGTCTAATGTTAATCTATTATTAGCTGATAATTCCTATTTCACCCTGTACTTAAGCTTTTTAAAGGAACACTAGCTATTTTTAAGAAAACTAGCTTCAAGATGTAATGATAGCATCGTTTACGCTAGAATTATGATTTTTTTGTAGCTTATGAAAAATAAAGAAATACCTTAAGAAATGTCCTACGCAATTCGCAGTGATCCATTTAGTAATATTTTCCAGGTTTGATTAAAATACTCGCGCTCGTTTTTACTGTAGGCTGGTGGAACAATTAAAAGAAATGGGATACTCTATTAAGAACCACTATCGTTGTTCGTGGTAATAGTATTAATCCTTTTTCCAGTAAAGTTATTTGTAGTTTGTTCTTTTCTAAGTGCAAACTACATAGAGTAGTTCACTCTCTGCCCATGGCAGGTACTCGAGCCCCAGATTGCAAGTACGTAAACTTACGATTGACCCACCGGGGTGGGGTGATGGGGGTGACATTTGTTTTGTTTTTTAAGGAAAAGAGTCTTGGTTTTGTATTGTACTTTAAGTAAGAAATCAACTAAAATACAAGATCCAGACATATTAGTTGATGATTTGATAGATGATACACCTAAACAACCAGATAACCACTGTCGTAAACTTTGTACTTAATTTAATGTTTTGTTCTTTATTTCAGATCCTTTAATTCCTGACTTATGGGATCAACGGTATTACTTTGATAAAGAAGGAATTCTCCCTGTAGCTCAGCGGTAAGCCTAAGGACTTATAATTCTGAAAATCACATAAAATTGTTTATTTATAAAATTGATTCCAAGTTTGGTTCAAATACAAATTTTCAGTAAAGAGAGAAGGAGCATCTTCATATCGTGGATGATTTTTAAAACTCCAAGTTACTAGACCAAAACATAAAGTTCTGTGTTAGTAGAACAGATAAATAAAACTAAGGTACAAAATATAAACGGATAAATAAAACTAATGTACGAGCTAGGATGTGGAAATGGTGAAACGTAAACAGATAAATAAACTAAAGTGTAAACTACGACGTACAATTGGTAAAATGTAAACATATAAATGAAACTAAGGTACAAACTAATAATTTAAACTGAGGCACAAATTGGGATGCGTAAATGGTAAAATGTAAAATGTTGGTGAAAGTCCCAACAACTAAGTGTAAAATGCCAAACACACATAGTGTCTACGTGACAGGAAAGCTGGATGGCCAAAGGTGCAACTTTGTCATAGATTCAGCTTCTCAGC